TGTTCTCCATCAGGCGTGACCTCTCCCAACCTCTCCTGCTGCCCCCAAAGCAGGTGCTGGAACCACCACTGGAAGCCCAGATGCCATTTAGCCTCCTTCTCCTTGGAGGGAAATAAGCTCTGAGTCTTGTCCACTTGGGATTTCTGCTGTCAAGTCTGCACATGCCCACAAGGCCTCTCACACCACTGTGGTCCTGTTGTTGCCAGTCCACACACGACCTCGGGACCACTCCCCTCAGATGACCCTAGGTCCACCATCTTGCTCCTCCGTTTTGGGTCCAGGTGAGGTGAGGTTACTGTGTGGTGGGGGATGCCCAAGAAAGGGTTAAGTTGTCAGAAGCAGAATCCCGCCCTTGGGTTTGCTCAGCCAATCAGAGTCTGTCCTGATGAGGTAAAGCTTCTATCCTGGGTAGCACTGGTTGAGTTGACAGGCCCCGTCTCCTGCTGGAGAGAGCCGTAAGGGTGGAGTTTCTGTGGAACCAGACAGAACTGGAATTAGCTCACTGTCTACTCAGGCCTGGGCTTCCTGACTCCAGGACCTGCTTCTGCTCCTTTCTAAGGCATTCAGACAGACCTTGGTATCTCAGGGGCCCCGTCTCTAGTGGCCCCAGTGGAGACGACAAGGTGGCACGCACCTCGGCTTCACATTTAGGAGAAGTCTTACAGCCAGAGCAGACCCTGGAGGCCCCAGTTTCCCTGCCTGGGCCCTGGAATATAGCAGGTGGCTACCAGGAAGTGACACGGAGCAGTCGTCACATGTGCTCAGAGCAGCAGCAGCAGCAGCTTCAATAAACAAGGCCACCAGATGAATCTTCCTATATAGACATCACTCAAAAGTAATGATGATGATAATAATGGCAGCTACTTCACAGCGTTCTTCTTGTATGCCACTTTGCCAAGCACAGTGCGAGTTTAGTCCTCACAAGAACAAAATCCATCCACTTTACTGATGAAAACACTGAGTCTCAGAGAGGCTAGGTGGCTCACCTGAGGACACATCACTTACTAGGTTATTTGGAACTATATGTTGCCATATCTGTCTCTGCCAGCAGACTGTAACCTCCCAAGGAAAGAGCGTTTCGGATTCCTCTGTGCATTTCCCCCACGAAGCCCTGGGCCTGCCCTGAAAATGGGGCCAGGATACACTGCATTTCAGTCCCCCCTTCTCAGCCTAAGGGCTCAGTGGAAAGACTACTCTTCCCAGAGGCTTCCCTGAGCCCAGCTCAGCACCATGCCTGTGAGGGGTGCTCAGCTGGACGCTCACTGCGTGGACGATGAGTGAACAGCCAGGACCCCACTGGACCACTCTTAGGACTCGCAGGCGTGGCCTTTGGTGCTTGAATCACCACTCCAGTGCCCTTGCCATCTCTTTCTAATGAGAAGCAGAATTCTACAAGGACAGGAACTAGGTCTTACTCATCTCTGTGACCCCAAAGGGCCTAAACCGATGTCTGGTACAGAGAAAGCATTTATTGTGTATATTTGCTTGACAACCAAAATAATATATAACTGCCTCTCCCTACTAGCTTAGGACCTCAATGGCCACAGGTAGGACCAGCACTGAGCTATTCTAGATTAGAATCCTCACGGCAGTCCCCATGCAGGGTGTTTAGTACAAGGTTTCCCAAGCAGAAGAAAGGTAGATGCCCTCCAGTGTCAGGCAATGAAGCAAGAGAGGGGGCAGAGTTCTGAAGAGGAAGGAGGGGGTGACAAGAAGGAGTAGAAAGCTGAGACAGGAGAGGAATTGGGTCATTTACTTCAACAGGAAGAGGAGAGAACCTTCAAGCCTGCCCAGAGCAGGCCCTACCTACCGTAGTCAGCTGAGAGAATAGGAGAAAGGCAATGGAGTCCCAGAGAAGGGAGGCCAAACAGCTGCTGCTGCCTCAGTGAGGCCACCCTGCCCAGCTGGGACACCCATGCTGCAAGGCCACAGGCCCCTCAGAGAGCGCAGAAAGCCTGTGTCTGTCCCTCTCCATCCCCAAGAAGAAAACAGACCTGGCCCCTAAAGGCAGCAGATTTCACAAGAAGGCAAGTTGTATAGAAATCTTCAAGGTATAATTCCCTAAAGGAGACTGGACGGCCCTAGGCCCTCAGCCTCATGAAAATCACAAAGCTTAAAGAGAAGGAAAGATCCACTGGACCAACACACACAAGTGGGGCCACTGAGGCCACAGGAGGAAGTGGTTGCCAAAGGTCACACGACAGGTAGTGACACACCTGCCTCTCTATTGTTCTTTGAGTCCATCTTCCTCCAATTCCCTCCATTCTTTCCAGCAAGCACCTATTTCATTTTCAGGGCAAATTGCACTTATTGTGTTTTGTGAATTTGGGAAGAGCTTTACGTTCCACGAGATGTTTGAAGAATCCTCCAACCCGAGGTATGAGCAAACATTGTTGAAAGGAGCAGGGGACAAGGGTTGAGAAGGGGCAGTGTAGGAGTTTGGGGCGTTGCCGTACAAATCCCTCTTTCCCCTGAGAGGCATTTGAGTCGGGAGTGGAGCGGGGAGGGGCGGGGTCAGGCAGTGTTTTCCATTGTGCGGCAGAAGGCAGAGCATTCCCAGACAGAATACAGAAAAGGCATACAAAGGCATGCTACTAAGTCAGGACTCAGAACTCATCGGTCAAGCAGGACCTTTCATGCCTGAAAAGCAAGAAGCCAGTCTCTGAGCTCGCTTGGCCATCCCTCTTCTCGCCTGGAGGACAGCAACCTTGGTAGAAAGGCTGTGGCCCAGTCCTCAGGAAGGAGGCTGACATCACCCTGAGGCTGCCAGGACAAGACAGCTGAGCACAGGTGGATGAGGGGGTAGGCCAGCTGGACTGCCACCTGGGCCCAGTCACTAAGCTCTCTAAAGCATTCCTGGAACTATGCCGGGCTGGAGAGAATCATATTGACCAGACAGACTGCTCTCAGGAAGCACTCTGTAAGTGACTAGGAGTAAGTGTATATGGTGGAGGTGGAGCAGTGAGACCCCAGAGGCCTGCCTAACAAAAGATAGTTGCATAACAGCCTTCCCAGGAGGGTGGGCCAAGTGGAGTGTGCAAGCCTGGCGCAGGGTTCAGTTCACAGGCCCAGGAAGCAATTCTGAGTCTGTCCCAGCACTCACGCCCCCTCCTTCACCCTTTTCCTGCCCAGCACACAGCTTCTCCACTGAACACACATTTGAAGAGTTTTGATGTGAAGAGGCGTCCAAACCGTTACCCGCCCGGAATGCCCAAACATCTTGGCGTGGCCCTGAAGCCAGGCCCCCAACCCTCAAGCCCTTCCAGGGTCAGCCAGCCAAGCCCACAGCCCTGCAGGGACCAAAGGGTGCCTCAAAAACAGCCCATCTTCAGTAGCCCACGTCCTCCTGAATCTGAGCATGGAGAGATTCTCCAAGGTATTAAGAAGGCTGTTGCCAACACACTCCCAAGCCAGCAAACTCTGATGCTGAGGCACAAAGAACTCTTTCCCCCTCAAACAGGAGGAACTAAGCGCAAAGAAAAGAAAGCTTGGGGGCATGAATTGAGCCACTGGACATCCCAGGGCTGTCCCACTGAAGAGGAAGTAGGGCCTAGATTCTGACTGTGACCAACCCAGGGTAAATGGGGCAAGGCAGCCTGCATAGGCACGGTGACAGCCGACAGGCACGTGACAGTTCTCTGCTTAGTAGAAGAACCTGCCAATGAGAACCACCCCAGTGCTTAAGCCACCTAGGGCCAGCGCCAGGGGCAATGCATTCCCCACAGCTATGGTTGAATAAGCACCTACTACATACCAGGCACTGTGCTATGAACTGTATATGTACCCTCTCATTTAATTCTCACAACAACCCTCTGGAGGACGAACTATTGTCCTAGATTACTGACGGGAACATCAAAACACAGAGCAGTAGAGTGATTTGCCCAAGGTCACACTGCCAGTCAGCGGGCAGAGTGTGATTCAGAAGTTCATACTCTTCCCACTGTCTTCCCTCACCAAAGTTATTCTTGCCCCTGGCTAGTATAAAACAAGATAACTTTCATATCTCAGATGATATTAATTCTCAGATCCTCACTCACTCTGGGGATAGCTGGAGAGCTGTTGTTGCCACTGGCCCTCAAGAGAGGCTGCCAGTCGCTTCTTCCCCACCTCCTGCCCCACTGCCCCCTCCATAGGCCTGCTGCCCATGGCACAGGGGGCCTGGACACACCAGGAAGAAGCAGTAGGGCCAGTGAGTGTATAGGCTGCAGCTCACTTTCATCTATCCTCTTCCCCCAGAGCCAGCAGAGCAACCACCTCAGCAACTTTTACAGCCAACCAGACCAAATCCCAAAATGGCCAGCACTTTTAGCAAGAGAAGGGATCTGAATGACTCACAAATGGGGGAACATAACTGTGCCTTGTAGCTGGCAGCTAGGTGTCAAGGGGGAAGGCTGTGGTCCAAGCTCCTATCCATACCCCCTTCCCCAGGCACTGGACCAGCTGACCAGCACCCGGCCCAGATCAGCCTCCACTGGGATGCTCTAATCTTCCCTGATGCTCCAGCTGGCCAGTCCCCAGCCCCCAGCAGTCCAAACTCGGCTCCATTTGGCTCTGGCCTGCATGCAACTATAACACGTAACAGCTCCCGCTGCAAGCATCCCCTCAATTATGTCTGTCTCGGGCCAGTGTTAAACACCAGTGTGCTGCCCCTGGGCACAGCCTCCCCAATGGCAGAGGGGAATGCACGCCAGGCAGCAGCAGGGAGGCCAGCTCAAATTAAACCTTGCCATAGGCAAACTGAAGAACAGAGTGGAGGATTGATGGGTCATGCTCAATTTGGCTCTCTCGCTCTACCCGAGCAACGTCAAACTCACTCAGTAGCCCCAGTGTAATGCCAAGGGGGAGAGACATTCAAGCACAGGCCCCCTTGCCAAGAGCTCATTGCCCAGATCCAAGTTCCAAGCTTGGGCTGGCCCCAGGTTCAATTCGGAGGCTGGAGGGTCCAGGCTGGCTGAGGGAAAGCAAGGCAGCCAGGGCTGCAGCCGCTGGCAAGGCCTTACCTTGCTCTCTGCGGGTGACGCCGCCAGCTGTTGCTGCTTGGCGATGTTCTCCGACAGGCACCAGCACACTCTCTTCTTCTGCTCCTGCGAGTGCGCTTCCAAAGTGAATAAGCACTCTGCCTTCTGACGTCAGGGAAAACAGAGAAAGGGATGGTCAAGACTGCTCCCTGGTTCAGGGGGCTCCCAGGCCCAAGCCCGTCCCTGGGCTCCAGAGGGCGAGGCTATAGCAGGGAGGGGAGTGTCTGCCAAAAGCCACACTGCACACTAATCCCCAGTGACATCGAGGCAGGAGGAGCAGGGAAGCAGGTTCAGGGGCCAGCTGGCGAGATGTGGGCCTACAGGTTGGGGGAAGGGAGGGAGGCAGTAGCTCTCAACACAGTGGAGGCCTGTGGAGAGCTGCAGGACAGAGCCAGTGAGGTCACCCCCGGGGGCAGGCAGCACAAGGCGGCAGCTGGGGGAGCTCGTGGGGAGCCCAGAGGGCCAAGGCCTCTGGCTGATGCTCTGTGGAACCAGGAACTCTCCCCCCAGCTCGCAGAACCTGTCTCCCTCACAGCACACTCAGCTGATCACAAGGCCAAGCTTCGATAGGTGGTTGGATGGACATACCAACAGACCCAAATAGCAACTCAGGTCCCTCTGGAAAGTCTTTGGCGGGCACAGTCATGTGGCCCTCTGCAGCCTCACTGCCTGGCACATGATCTGCGTCTGATCAGGGACTGCTCAGATGAGGGCAGCAATATCTCCTGCAGTGCTAACACTTACATCCTGCTTTGCTATTTAACCTTGCTAAGTGCTACAGTCTCCTCTCCCCAACTAGATTATAAATTCCCTCTAGGAAGGCCTTTTTATCTGGGCCTAGCACACTGCTCGGCAAGTCATGGTCTTGGTAAGCTCTGGCTGCCCGGAGGAACTTCCGGGATGAGGTCAAATGCAGGCCAGCTTTGGCACAAGCTCCAGGGAGCTGCGGGGACCCAGGGGGTTGCCCTCCAAAGCAGCTGGAGGCGGGGTAGGAACAATGTTGCATGCCCAGGGTTACCACCCACCACCAGGAGCTCTGATCAGGGGATTGCAAGCTCTCTCTGACTCCACTGGAATTTGATTATAACCCCACAGGACTGAGGTTAAATGAACTTGCCAGGAAGCATGAGTTGGATGGCCTGGAACAGAGAAAAAGACAGTGTTTCTATCCAGTCCCTCCCTGTTTTGCAGTTGGGCAGGCCTGGTGCGAATTCCAGCTTTGCCACTTCCCAGCTGTCGACCTCAGGAAAGTTATAAGCTATCTGTAAAATGGGAATGATAATGGCATCACCCAGCTGTCAGAGCCACTGGCAGGGCAAGCCGTGAGGACAACCTCAGGCCTCAACAAACAGTAGCTATTGTTATTATTTGGTAATCCATTTCATTTAATAAATATTTATTGAGCACCTGCTATGTGTCAGGGACTGTCCTAGGCACCAGAGATAAACAGGCACATGAGACAGACTAAGTCCTTGCCCTCAGGTTCAAGGGCAGAGATAATAAACAATAAATAATAAAATAAGCAATATACAGTCAACCCTCCATATCCACAGGTTCTGCATCCATGGACTCAACCAACAGGAGATGGAAAATATTTGAAAACATTTATATTGTGTTAGGAATCGTAAGTAAACTAGAGATGATTTAAAGTACACGGGAGGAGGTGCATAGGTTGTATCAGGGACTTGAGCATCTGTGGATTTGGGAATCCGTGGGGGTCCTGGAATCAATCCCCTGTGGATACCAAGGAATGACTATAATTACAAATTGTGAAAATGTCACAAAAGTCATAAAGAGAGACTTTTTAAAGGTGAGCTAGGTGATCAGAAAAGGCCTCTTTGAAGGGGTGACACTCGAGCTAAGGCTTGAACTGTAAGAAGGAGCCAGCAAGGAAAGTGCTTGGGAGAAGTTGTTCCAGGAAGGGTAAATGCAAAGCCCTGAGCGGGAGATGGTTATTCGCATCCTCTGATAGCATCTAAGGACTTTGTCTATCCTGCCATCCTACCCAACCCTCAGGAATGCTACTCTTCATGAAGAGGGGGCCACCTCCCATGCTGAGTGTCCCCAGGGAGCCAGCCCTTCCTCTCCTGCCCAAAAGTAGTCAGAAGCTGATCCTCCTAAAAGCACCTGAGGAGAGAGGGAAGAAAGCCCCACCTGATGGCTTCAGGAAACTGGGTGGGTATGCTGAGGCAATCCCAGAGCTTCCAATTAACGACAGGTTCCCTCCACTTCCCAGAACCTTCCAGCCTACTTCAGGGAAAGGACACACCCCGAAAAAGACCCCAAGATTCCCCAGGGCGAATCCGGGTGAGACAGACCCTGACCAGAGGGCCCTCTGCTCCCTTTCTCATCGTGTTTCCCTGCAAAGGGAGGGGTGAGGCAGGAACTGTGGTCCCTTCCAGCTTGGAAAGGCCATCACTCCAAAACTGGCACTGGCCTGAGCCTCCCAGCCCTGCTTTTACTGTGAATATACTGAAGGCCTCTTCTTTTTCTATTCTGAAGCAGGAATTCTGCCTTACTGATAATTCCTTTGGTCTAAGAAATTAAAAAGAACTTTCCCATAGATGATCTCATTTTGATCTTGGCAATTCAAAGAGGAGGCAGGGAGGGCATGGAGAGTTATCCCCATTTTATGGAAGGGAATAACCAAGGCTCAGAGTGACTGAGGACCTCCCTGAGTCTCATCGCCAATAAGCAGCAAAAGGAAAACCCAAAGCCTTGAAGAACTTTCCCCTGGGATTTCATCTCCAAAACCTGGGGCGGCCTCCTCACCTCCTGGCGAGGCTGCCACACCCGGCTGGCAAGAATGCTCTCCCTTGCAGACTGGCCCAGGAGGCAACCAGAGTGTAAAGCCTTCAAATGAAACTCTATAGGCCGGTGGGTCTTGGAGCAGCTGCAGAGTTCACTGGCAGCTTTTTGTACAACTGTGCACTGCTCTCAGCTCCAGGAGGTGGTCTCCTCCCTACAAAAGTACAAGAAAGCTCCCCAACCTCGGAGGGCTTCCCACAGCAAATAAGCTACCTACCCCTAAGCCTGAGATAGACCCCTCAAACCCCATTCCCACTACTAAGCACTTTAGCAGCAATGCCTTGATATTTCTTCCAACAACCTTACAAGGTAGCAGCTGGGATTATCCCCATTTTACTAACACCACGAGAACCACCCTGCCCTCCCCTGCCCCTTTGGAAAACCATGTTTCTCTACCTGGGATGGCAACCATGTTGTCTGTCTCAACTGCAGAGTGTACGGCTGTCTCTGGTTCTCAGAACTTGGAGCTGAAAACCTCTATAATGTTGGAGAACCTAGTAAGAACCATAAGGCTTACAAGGCTCCAAGGACCTAAACTCAGGCCTGGCCCTGGGGCAGGATCTGGCTGGCTTAGATGGGCAAACATTTTTGGGAGGCCTAAGCTTTGGAAATTGGCCTGGCCAAAAGAGCGAGAACACTAAGCCTGCTCCCTCCAGGGGGGCCGAATTCTCTCATCTGGCTAAATCTGTCTCAGTTGGGAGCCCTCATTGCTTGTCTGGCTGTTCCCACATGTGAACCGTCTCTCTTAATCCAGTGTGCGACCCAACTCATCAGGTTCAAAGCTGATACGCACGGTGCTGTCACCACAAGGCTCCGGGGTCAAGAGAGTCAGCTGCCCTGAAGGCATCGTCATGGAACTCACTCAGGTGCTGCCTCCTGACTGCAGGGTGGTCAGCCAAACACAGAGCTTTCAGATGCACAGTTTTGACCCAGAAACACTGGGCCCAGACCACTTTTCACTTAAACGTGGGCATCCTCAAATCCAACCAGACACCCACCCTTCTCTTGGCCTCTTTAAAAATCCCCATCTTGCCTCACCCTCCTTGCTCCTGAATTAACTTTATCTTTGTAAAAACTAGCGCCTCTTCAGCTATAGTTTAAGTTGGTTCATTTGCTATCACAAACATTTTCTCACTTAATTCAATTCTCCTGATGATTCTATGGCATAGGTAGGAAGGAAAGGCATAGCTGTTACCATTTTTTAGATGAGAAAACTAAGGCTCAGAGAGGTTACATCATCAGCCCCAGGAGGCCTCAGAAGAGAAAAGATTCAAAGTTTGTCTTCTGCCTCCTCCAGAGCCTATGATCTTGCCATATTTGTATAACAGTATATGCACATTACAAAGAATGTGAGATATTCCTCTTAGCTTTCATTTTAAAAGATCAATAAATCATCTGTGATATCTCTAACGGAGAGTAAATGAATATAAAAAGCTCTTCCCCTTATTAGGAAGCTGACAACAATAATTGCTACCATTTATTGAGCACTCACTGTGTGCCAGGCTCAGTGCTAAGTGCTTGGATGCAGTATCTTATTGAATCTCACTTAATCATTACAACAACCCTAGAAGGTAGGCCTCAGCAGCCTTGTTTCAGAGAGGAGTACATAACTTGCCTCAGATCACTCAGGAAATGGCAGAGCCAAGATTCAACTCTAGGTCTTCCTAACAACTCTAAGGCCCAGACTCTGAAATTAATGGAGCCAGCCTCAGATCTAGATTAGAGAATGGTCCCTGATCAACATGCCCACTGGTCCAATGACCCTGGTGCTCTGTATCCAGTCATGAGCTGCATCTGTCCTGTGGATTTGCAGGGACTGAGGGACACCAGTCAAGAGGAATAGAGATGCAGAGCCAAGGACTATTTAAGACAACCCCACCCAGGACCTTGCAGCTGGGAACAGTCAGAGCTGCTACCACCCAGGTGATTGGGGCTTTCTCAGTGCAGAGTGGAAAAACCTCTCCAAGCTCTGACTCTCCTCCCCCTGGTTTCTTCTCTGAGTCCTGCTTGCATGTCAGGCAATGAAGAGAAACCACTTATCAGAAGTTCCAACTAAGGTGTGAGTTTGGGGCTCTCCATGGGATCCCAAACCACCCATGTCAAGAATGTCCCAGACTATGGAGCAAGCAGACATCCTGTCTTCCCTGCATTGCAGACATGCCTCTCATAAACAGCAACCCATTAAGAGAAGAGAGAGGCTTCTAGCTGCCTGTGAGCTCAACCCCCAGCCCCTTGGGGTCAGATCACCTGGCACTTTACTGAAATAAAAAGCCCCAAATCAATATCCCTTCATCAATCTTTGAAGGGCTAGGAGGTAGATCCCTGGAAACCAATGGAGCAGAAGTGCTTTTCTCTGGGAGAAACAAACCCAGCCTGGCAGGAAGCTCTCTTGTTATTAAAGAGCCTGGAGCTTCCTTTCAGGGACCACCTGAGAGAATCAGAACCCAGAGCGGTGAGGCTGGAGGTGCAGCCCAGCCTGGCTCATGGCTTCTCCTACATGCACTCTGCTCCCTTAGCTCTGTGGAACTAAACACCCTCCAGCACGGAGGCAATTCCACCAGCCACTTCCCGCGCCCCAGTGGGGATGTAGCTGACACAGAGGAGGATGTCCAGTGCCCTCTTGGCCCTCAGATCTGCCATTCCAGGCAGCCTAGGTCCCTGGCTGAGCTCCAACAATGTCCACTGCCTCTTTGAAACTTTCTGCTCTCCCCTGAAGTTAACTTCTCATCAACTGTCTTCTCCCTCAGGGATCTGTTAAAAGACTCACCCAAGGCCTTGCATTGCTAATCTTAGCCAGGAACCGAAGGAATGATTTCCAATCACAAACAGTGTCCAAATTCCTTCTCAAAGGGTGTATTCCTCTTGGCCGGCCAGTCTAGACCATGCCCCACCTCCCACAAGACAGGTTCTCAGGACTATTGGCTGAGACAAACTTAAGCAGAGGCAGAAGGCAGGAATGAGCCCTTGCTTAGAACAGACACCACCCTGTTCACATCAGCAGAGACACAAGGTTGGGAATAGAAACTTCATTGAAAATTGAAAATAATTTGTATGGCTCAGTGGCTCTCAACTTTTTCATCATCGAGGACCTTTTTGGTTAAACCCCAGGCTTAATGATATTTTATCTACTGAACCATATCAAGCAATAAGTTGTTTGCAGGATTTTGCTCAGCAAAGGCATAACGCTGCCCATCCAAGCTTCTGATCAGACTGAGGATAACCAGGAACATCAATCACGCTTAGTGAGCATCATTCCAGCCCCAAACGCAGACACTTGTTGTTTCCTTTAGCTTGTATTATCTGGCCCAGGTAAAGGTACAATTACCTTCGGGCCTTTGGAAACACTGACAAGACCCTGTAGGAGGGGGTGTGGGTGGTACTTCCTGGAAAAAGTAGAAGAAAGAGGCAGGCACAGGAATCAGGGCAATCTCTAGAGGAAGGGCTATTAAATAAACACGGTGACGTGCAGCTGCCAGGCCACATCCTCATTATGATTCTTGCGGGTGAGGGAGGTCAGGAGGTCCTGAGCAGGAGATCTCAAGGGTCAGTTCTAAGTGCTTTTTTGTCCACGGCTCTTTCACACAGAGGTAAGAGAGGCAAGGGCAGGGGCTGCTATTCCCATTCTACAAAGCAAGAAACTGCCCTTCTGAACTTGCCCCAGGCCACTGCATGAGTTGGTGTGGAGGCTGGTATCAGAACCCTGGTTTGGATCCCAGCCCAGCATCTTGCCTCAAGTACCAGGTCATGGATCTCTCTCCTCAAATGCACAGGAAAGGACTCACCTCTGCCAGATACAGCACACAGAATTTCAGGTCTTCTGAAGAACCTTTAAGGGAACAAAAAGACTTGCATTAGAATTGGCTAAAGAGTCCCAGCAGTTTGCTCGAGCACAGTCAGCTGTCTTGCCCAGAAGGCCAGAAGGCTGAGTGTGTGCTGCTTTCTTGGAAAAGAAGGAGAAAGAGGCAGGCAGGAGCCTGGGAAGTCTTTGGAGGAAAGCTGGCTAAATAAGTAGTCGGAGTGATGTACTGCTATAAGACCCCTGCCTGCAGGTCAGCCTGGCCCAAGGAATGCTAAAATCTCATCCCCAGGAGGGGTAGCCAGGAGCACCCTCTGGGCATCAAACGGCCAGGTGCAGGGAGCTGTCATCCATCCCAGAAGGCCTCCTCCTTTCTGTGATCCCTTCAATGAGGGACGTGGAGTCAGCACACATCTGGGTTTTCCTTTGAACACGCCAACTGCCTTTGCCATTTAGAAATTCAACAAGGAGCTGTTTAGTTCCTAGGTGGGCCTTGTTTCCCACCAGCGAATGGTGGGCCCTGCAGGGGGGATCCCCAGTCATGGGCTGGGTGGAGCCCAGAGATGGTTTCTAGGCTGGGGCTTGACCCCTCTGTGTGTTTTCCTACAGTCCCCTCACCCTTGGTCCGGGACGCCAATTGCAACCCTTCACCAAGCCCTCTCTACCTGGGAGGCAGCTGGGAGGGGCTGTCAGCTGGTGCCTCCACCTCCAGCAGAGGCGCTAAGGTAGAATACTGACCTTAGGACAGATGATTTGCTCAGAGTGCCTCAGAAGCAAGAGCACTGAGAGATGGCTTCCAGCTGTTGAGTTTGGACTCAGATGGGAAGAAAGGGCGCTCCAGGAGGTGGGAATAGCATGGGCAAAGTCAGGGAGCTGGAGAAGCACAAGTTGTGCTCGAGAGCGAGCAAGTGCAGAGACGTCCTGCCTCCTCCTCCAGGACACCTGCCCTCACCACCGCAGCCACTCCTCGGGACCCGGCAGCACCCCCACTGGGGCGTTCATCTGGGCACGGGCCCAGGATGATCAGTAACTCCCTGCACTTCAAGCGATAGGCTGTCATTGTTGAGGGGAGCGACCATGCAGCGCGTGTAACAGTGAACGCTTCAAGGGCCGTAGAACTTCAGGGTGCCGTAGTGCTACATGCCAACCATTGTCCTAAATGCTTTCTGGGTATAAGCTCGACCCTCACAACAACCCCTGCAGACAGGGTTCTTGTCATCCATGACTCACGTGAGAAAACTGAGGCACAGATGGATTAGGTAACTTGCCCCAGGTAGCAAGGGGGAGAACCAAGATTTAGGCCTGGGCAGCCTGGCCCCAGAGCCCATGCTCCGACCCACTACACACTCACCTCTCAAATGCCCACCACACAGGCCTTACCCAACCCCTCTGTCTTCTCAAGTCACAAGACCCAGTGCTGGGCTCAAAGTAGACCCCTCAACACATACTTAAAGCAAAGACACTGTCAAAGAAACTAAAATTTTTTACAAAGAGAAGGTGACAAGATAAAAAATTGTGGGCCGAGCCAATTCCTAAGAAAAGCAGTGAGCAAGGGGCCTGGTGGGGGTGAAGGCCAGGTCCCCTTGAAGCAAGCATATGGCAGTTCCCTAGACAAAAATTATCCTAGTGCCAGGGGCTGCCAGCCAGAACCAGATACAAAATAGCCCATAAGTAAATAAGGATTCACTTTGGACTCTGAGAATAAATCTTTCTACTTCTCCCCATCTAGAGATGGGCTGGAGAGGAAGGAAGCCCTGCCTAAGAACTCCATCATGTTTAAGCAAACTGTAATTTCAAAGCTGGTTCCTTGCGTTGCTGAGGGTGGAGACAAGAGGAGGTGGTTTCTTTTGTTTAGGAGAATATACTGGGATGTTTCCTTGACTTTCCAGAAGCAGACCCTAGTGCCAAGGGAGAGCCACAAAGATCTATGTCAGAAAATAACATAAATTTGGGTTTTAGAAACTGGCAATGAGCGAAGAGAAGGCTCTGGAAGGGAGGAGAAAGCCCAGGAGATGAGAGGCTCAGGGAGACAGAAAGCCGAGGTTGGCGGAACACACCCTAAGACACAGTCCCTGTGTCAGGCAATGGCTGACGAATTGCCTTGACAACTTTTCTGTGCTGTGACACTCCCGCCCTGCACTCTGACCTCCCTGCATTACTGTAAACTTTCATTGAAATCTGCTCCCCATCACAGCCTGCGCTGGCAGGACTCTGAGAGAGGATGGGATGGGGGCAGCGCTCAGCACAGTTCAGAGCCTCACAAAAGAACAGCAAACAGAGGGAGCCAAGGGTGCCAGGGACGAGCAGCAGCCACGGGAAAGAGGCTGCAAGTGCACTGACCAGGACAGACACCTCGGCCCCTTCTGCAGCGTTATACCTGGGGGCTAGTGCAGAGGAGAAGGGACACTGAGGCAGCACACATTTGCGCTGTCCTTTAACATTCCCTTACCTCTGCCATTTTCAAATTCAACATGGAGCCATTTGGTTCCAGAGTGGACCTCACTTTCCACCAAGGAATGCCTGGCCCATGCAGGGGGGATCTGTAGTAATGGGCTGGGTGGAGCCCAGGTCCGACCCCTCTGTCATTTTCCCAGAGCCCTCTCTCACCTGTCTGAGATCCCACACTCAGCCACTCACTAGACCCTCTCCACCCTCTGAGGCAAGCCAGGAGGGGTGTTGACTCCACTGTCCAGGTACAAAGACTGAGGCCCAGGGAGGGAAAACAACTTGCACAAGGCGTTCAGCGAGTAAGTGACAAAGCTGAGATTTGAGCCCGGATGGCCTGCCTCCAGAGCCTGTGCTCCTGACCATGGTGTCACACTTCTGCCCCCACAGGTTACTCATCTGCCATTCCACCAGGCTATGAGCTCCAGAGGTGGCAAGGTGTCCCTTCCATTGCTATCGCCTCAGCAGCCAGCACTGTGTGGGCTTTCAGAATGTGCTCAGAAAATGTCGACTAAGAGTTAACTCCAAGCATTCCAGCAGCTTGGACCTAAGCAAATAAGTTTCTGCAACTGGGTACCCGGCTCCCCAAGGTGGGTGGAGAGCCCAAGGATCAGCTGAACATTTCCAGGCCGCTTCTGAGAGACATGCGCAGGCCAGGAAGACACATTGTGGGCGTGATGCTGGCTGCCTAGGAGGCAGAAACACAAAGAGTAGCAAAGCCAGCGGGCGGCAGAGGCAGGAAGAGACCACAATGGGCCCCGGCTGACCGGAGATGTCCCAATTGTTAGCGCCAGCTCTCTGCCTGTTCCCATCACACTGCCATTCAGGCCTGCTGAAGCTTGCGGGAGGCTGGGCAAGGAGGAGGGCAGGCAGGGTTTAAGCGGCCACCAGCCAGGAGCCCTGGGGAAGGGGTGCACGCCCAGCTCCGGAGCTGAGGCAGTGTTCCTGGTCTCCTTTCAGTCATTCATTCATTTACCCAACAAACACTCACTGGGCAGCCACGATGTTCTGTGCCCCATGCCAGGCCCTGGGAGTATGCTTGGCCAGTAGAGCTAAGGACTCTTCAGACGAGTCACACACATGAAGGAGTCCTTGGTCCCTGGGGTGGGGTTGATTCTCCCCTGCCAGGGAACAGCCCTTGCCAGTCCCCGCCAGCCGGAAAGGCTGGGTACATTCCTTGTTTACCATTTTCTTTGCCCCAAATTGAACTCTGCATACATGTTGATTTGAAAGAGACAAACAAGAAACCTAGGCGTCATGAGCAATGTTAATCAGAGACCATTCTGCCAACAGAGGCTCCAGCTAAGGCACCAAATGCATCTCTTAAAAGCCTCACTCAGGCCCTTGCTGCAGCAGTGGGTCTCTTGGGGCACAGGGGAGGCGGGCAGGAAATCGGGCGCCAGGACTCAGAACATTGGTTCCTGTGGCTCCAACTCTGACTGCAGGAGAAGGGGTCACTAAACTTCCGTGAACCTCTGGACCCACGAGCCTGTCTTAGGGGCATGGGGATGGCTGGGGGGAAGAAGCAAGGGCTCTACTGGTGCCTGGAAAGAATTCTAAGCATTGGAACGTGCACCTTCACTGCTCAGTGTCATGGAGCCATTTCCTTCCTTCTTGGCAGCTCTCAGGCTCCCTGGAGGTCTGCCCCAAAGCATCTCAGGCCTGAGGGCTCCCCCAAACTGTCTGCCCAACAAATCTAGGGCAGGCATGTACACACACACACACACATACACACTCCTCTTCCATACTAATCCAGTGGGCTCTCATGGCCATGGTCATCTCTCCTGAGAAGGGCTGCCTTGGCCACCCTCAGCCCTTGTCTAGCTTGCCCACCACCTGCGGGGAGAGGAAGCCACCGAAGCCACAGGAGCCACGGAAGCCAGGCCTGCTCGAGGCTACTGCTCGAACACAGCTTAGCATCTAGAGAGTTTCTCTGCTATACCTCAAGGCCCTGCACCCACCCACCTTGATCATCGCAACCCAGTGGAGGATGAAGTTCACCCCACCCCTAACCAATTCCCTGTCCAGGCCCCCCAAGGGGTGGAGGCAAGATGGTATGGGCACTGCCCAGCTTCTCACAGCAACCTTGGGGATTCTGTGTGGGGTGTCAGAGCTGGGAGGAAACACAAGGGGCTGGCCCAACCCTCATTTCCCAGTCAGAGAACTGCAGCCCAGAAAAGGGACAGGGCAGCTGAAGTCGCACACACAGCACAGCAGCGGCAACGCCCAGCCCAGACCCCCACACTCCCAACTACTTCCCTCTTTCCCCACCTCCACCCACAGCATAGCCAGTTTGAGCTCCCTTCTTTCCCCTCCCTCCTTTTAGCAGGAAGCTGAGCAAACCTGGACTTATGGCCCCAGACTTGCAGTGGACACAACAGAGTAAGGGGTCAGTTCTTCTAACCAACCAGGGTACATTACTGCCCCCTGCCCAGTACTCCTCAGATGTGACTGGGTCTAGAATGTCTGAGCTGCGGTTAGGGAGGAGGAGGCAGAGGAGAAGGAACTGTGCTGTGAGAGCACGTGTGTGTGTGTGTGTGTATGTATGTGTGTGCGCATGCTGTGGGCAGGCCAGAGGGACAGGGGAGAACGGCCATGCGGGGGAAGCTGGGCGAGGGGGGAGCCAGAGGGGGAAGGTGGGCCGCAGGGAAGCCCAGGGCAGAGTCTGCTGCGACTCTAACCTGCTCCCCTCCAGCAGGCACAGGAGAGCACCTGGAACACCAGTGCCTGAGCTGCAGTGGCTCAGAGGACTGCTCCTTCCCACTGCCCCTGGGTCAAGCTGAGCCCGCCCCGAGGGAGGGACTGGCCCCTGAGCAAGGTGACTCGCTTTTCCCTTCCCTAGGCAGGAGAAAGCCAAAGCCAGAGAAGTCGTAAGGGGCTTCCGGTGGGGAAGTGAGAGTGGAGGTTCTCACACTGACCGGGTTTCCAAGGAGGAGGAACCGCCAGGGCACCGAGCACACAGGATGGGTTTGCAACAGTCAGGAAGTTTTCCTGGAGCAAAACCCGCCAAAACAGAATTCTTTCGCTGGGTAATATTTTCCTCCCTGCCCCTGTCACCCACCCTCAAACAGGTCTGTTGTTGTTTTCATAATCTTGGAGAGGAAATCGAGCCCCTTTCAGCAGAGACCTCAGGCGCCAAACCAAACCGCCGACAGATACTCCCATCTGGCTTCCCGTCCCACGAGCGGAGGAGGGCACGGTGGAAAGTTTGGGTTAGAAATTCCCTTCATGCTCCCACACACGCCTGGGCCCATCTTCCTGGGCTCAGGCTGGGCCATGAGGCTGGGTGGAGTGGGAGTAGTGGTCTCCATCCACGGATCTGTGGGGTGGCAACAAGCACTTGTTGGGCACCTGTTATGGGCCAGGCACTTTGCACTTATGACCTAATTTAATCTTCACAACAACCTTCCGAGATACTGTTATTATCCCCACTTACACATGAGGCTCAGAGAGGGTGAGTAACTTGCCCAAGGTCACACCAGTAGTAAGGGGCAGGGTCAAGATTTGAACACAGGTCTGTCTGAGTCCAAAGCTCTACCCACCCTACTCCATTGCTCCCTGAAAGGTCTCTAGAATAGAAACCTTCCTGAAAAGCTCAGGGCATATCAGAAGACTTGCCAGCCTAGAAGAAAGGCCAATGTCTGAGAGCCTACCAGCCCAGGGACAGAGCCCAACAGCACACACTCTAATGTCCCGCTGATGGCTGGTAGCCAGATCCCAGATGGGTGCCCAGAGCAGTGGGACTCGGGGCAAGTGGGGAGCAGCCCAGGCACCCCCTTACCTTCCTGCAGCTTCACACTCTGGAGGTAGAGGGGGTTCCTCAGGACGTCACAGCGGCCAGGCTCGTCCTCCTTGGTGAAAAGCAGCAGGTCCGAGTAGGCGAACAGTGTCACCTGTGTCACGAGAGAGCAAAGAGAACTGGCTGCCCTGTTGTCCCCGGGAGGCTGGAGCCATGACCCCCCTGAAGGTTCAGGTAACACATCCTCATCATCTCAGGCGGAACCAGGGGCAGCGCTCGATGTGGCTACAGCCAAGGGCAGGGACCTGACCTGTGGTCAAGACGGTCCCATCACCCTCCAGTTTTCTAAACTTTCACCCCTCCAAGTAGGAAAAAATAGAAGAAAGAGAAAGTCCTCACCCTCCACGCAGATGGTGTCTGCAAGCCTGTCTACAGCCCGATGCCCCCAGGCCCACCCTCTGCCCAAATGCCCCTGGAGTCTCCAGCCCAGCACCCTTGGCTTGGAGTCGCCCTTGAGCTATAGGATGTTCCATACTGGCTTTTATTCTACTGTCAGCGTCTGACTGAAAGAGCACTGGACTTGGAGTCAGAAGGCATGAGGCTCCTATCCCAGCTCTGCCACTAATGAACCACAAAATGATTGGTTAAGTTCCCTTGACCCTCTGAGCCTCAATTTTGTCATCAGTGCAAACAGGGAGAAGGGGCCCTGCCTAGTCGCTCACAGGCTTTTTCCACCAGCTCTCCGCAGACTGGAGGGAAGTGGCACGCAGCGTGAGGTCGTGTGACTAAATTCCTTGCAGATAATTTTAACTGCATTAATGAGAAATTAGCTCAAGAAAAAGCCAGTTACTTACGCTCCAATACAGACACGTACATAACTTTTATCTCTTTTATGCACTAGCTGCTCCAAAAATAAAGGCGAAAGCTATTTTTAGACATTATAGGTAAACCAACAGGCATGCTCAGCATAGTTTTATGCTAAAAAAAATCCACTTGATCCTCTAATGCCACTAAAGATTACACTGTTCTTTGTTTTGTAAATCTTGCAGTGGCCTTTCGTCAAAAGCAATAAAATCCAATTTTAGATTCTCCAAAGAAAACAAAATATTATTAATGATGTGAACTTCCCTTTGAGGTGTCAAAACCTGATGCTTCATCTCTTCTGAAGCAAGAAGAATTAGCCAGAAGGCTTGGCGTGCACTGAGGGGCACAAGATGACCCCACGGCTCTCCTCTAAGACTCTGTCCTACAGAAATATTTATAAGCATGTATAAATATAAATGTATAAGGATGGTCTCAGCAGCATTTTTTTTTAATTTTAAAAAAGAAGATAATAGAAATGCCCATCAAGAGAGGATGGACAACATAAATTATGCAACCTTCATATGGTAGAATTTTATGCAACTATTTTAAAAAAAAAGTAGAGCTATGTGGGCAGAAATAGAAATCTGTCTATCATAAGTCAAAATAGTGCAAGGTGAAAATACCTAGAGTATAATCTAACTTTATAAAACAAATCTATAAATCTCTCTATATTTACACATTTTTAAAAATATCTAATATATTCAACACACTCCTCACTACAGGGAGTGGGATTTTACTTTATATATTATGGTTTAATTTGCATTTTTTTGCAATGAGACTGTTATTTTTGTCATTTAAATTTATATATTAATAAAATATATCAAAGGATCGCTTGGCTTCTGAGTGTAGCACAAACAGTGGTTTGGGGAAATATGGGTCACAGAGACAACAGGGGGACATCCTTGAGCAGAAGTTCCCAGGGGCTCTACCTTCTGCAATGGGGCCCGAACACGAAGGCTGGAAGGGATCTTGGTGGTGGACCTATCCAACCCTCTTCCCACCACAGCCCTGTCTCAATATGGCCCACGAGAAGCCTCCATTTGTTAAACACTTAGTGTCTGCTCAGTGGATCCTCACTTGTAAATAAACCCATCGCTCTCATTTACAGATGAGGACCCCAGAGCTCAGAGAGGCTAAGTGACCGCCCACAGCCACATAACCAGGGCCCATTGCTCGGGTAGCAATATGCCTATGGAATGTGAAAGAATCCAAACAAGGACCGAAAAAGAGAAGCAAAGGAGACCAAAAATAATAAAGTTCAGGGAGGAGAAGAAAATGACTTGAGAGTTCAGAAAGATTCAAAGGGTTGGTTGTCTGAGGAGAAGACTCCAAAGTCCAAGCAATAGGAAGAAGGCTCTAAATTGCCAGAAACACAAGCAACCCCTCAGGCGCCCACAAAACATGTCCCCGACTCAAGGGAAGTCTGTCAGTCACCTCCAGACCCAGAGGGAGGCTGGCAGGGGAAGAGTTGGAGGAGACAATCTGTCAGGAGCCTAGAAAGTCAAAAGCCAGCCCAGCCCCAGAGAGGACTGGAAGGAGGGCACGGAGGGAGGAGCCACTGGCAAGGTGAGAAAAGGGCCAGGCCACTGCTCCAGCTCGGATTCCCAGAGCGGAGAACATGGTCTAGACAGGAAGTGATTAAGGCATGAATGAAGAATTTCCCCAAAGGTCGGGTCAGGGAAAGGCCAGAGCTGGCATGTAGCTGGAGGCAGGGCAGAGGGGCAAGCGTGCCAGGGGAGGGCATGTGGACCCTTCACATCTCACCAGGATCCAGTGGAGGCCACAACAGCCCACAGTGGAGCAATGCCCACCCCCATAGCCCGATTACCTGCTGCCTTCCGCAACAGGCCATGGGGCTCACCGGGTGTCTTCCCCATACTTGTTCCAAGGACTCATCTGTTTTTCCAAAGGGTCAAGGGTTGAGGGATCACTTGGTTAGGGAATCCTTACAACTTGGAGGGTGACTTCTCCTAAGTGGCCCTAACCAAGCTTCTTCCTGAGAAACTGGGCCAAGGGCAGAAAAGACCTTGGTGCCTTAGTTAATATTAAACTCCCTGAGTCAGTGTGTAAAGTGAGGGTGTGTCTGTCCTGTGCTTCATATGATTCCTGGAACCTAGCCCTGAGCCTGGCTATGTTGTAGATGCTCAATAACCATTGTTTGAATGTATAAATGTGGCAGCTCCAAATGCTGATTTAACCTCAGGCCACATTAACCAAGTTTGTGACTTCTGGGAGGGGGTATGACCAGGGCGGTTCGGTGTGTGGGACTGGATCAGCTCACAGAAGTTAGCAAACTTGAGCATGCCCAGAGAAGAGATGGGGTAAAGAATCAAGGGGGAAATAAAGATTTCTATTAAGAGAAAGGGAAAACTTTCCACAATTCAGCACTCTCCAGTAATAAAACTGCTGTTCAGATGGCTGCCCCTGCAGACTCAAACACCATTAGCTGGAAAGTTTCAGGGAAGCAATTAGAATGGATGACTCCTGAGGGCCCCACCAACACTGAGGTTCTATGAATTTATCCACATCCCTCTTGAATTGGTTTATGTTTTTGACCTGAGTAACATGATAGGGTACCAAGATCCACATATTTGGTTGCTATAATACTTCAAGAGAAAGGAATGTATTTATTTTACTTGTCTTCAAATCACTTCCTTCAATCTTGGGGGTGGGACGGGGTGGGGTCTCTTGGCTTTAAGGCTCCACAGAGCTATGAGCAAAGATCTTTTTGGACAAATTGTAACTGCAACCAGGCTGTGCTTTCAGCTCGTGCTCCTCAGTTGGCTTTTAAACAAACGTGCCAGCAGCAGCAGGGGATCATGGGAAGCATTGCTGAGCCAGAGCGAGCTGGAGTGCTGATCCTGGCTCCATCCCTTGCCAGCCGTGAGACGCTTGGCTCCCAGTTTATCTCACCAGAGCCTCCGTGTCTCAACCAAAGAATGGGGACAACCTTGCCTGTCGTGGGGGTGCTGCGAGAACTAATTGGGACCAAGTGTATAAAATGCATACACACTGAGGATACACAATAAGTACCCAATGTTTGCAGATTTAATGGCGAGTGGACAAACAAAAGAGCAAATTTAACATATGTGTATGTTCCAGGGTGGCTGCCGTTTCTAACTGCCTTCTTAGGAGTCTGGGGAATTTATGCCACGCCTTACTTTCTGACCCTTGGACACCCGACTTAGCTCCAATACACATTTATTCACCAAACATAGCTCCAGCTTCTCTTTCCTAAAACTTAAATCCCTCTCAACAGATGAAGTTTCTCCCACTGAGACAGCTTAGATGCGCTGAGATTCTTAGGAAATATCCCAAAGAGGAGGTCCAGAAAAGAGGAAGTCCAGAAACGCAGTGAGCAATACAGCGCGGTAGAAATAAACACACAGGCCCCCCGGGGGGTTCCTTTAAGAAAGACAAGGTTCATTTGGAACATATAAGTTTCGGTTGGCTTGTTTAAAAAACAAAACTAACTTCCTGCTTTAGCCACAATCACACACAGTACCCCAGAATGCGGAGGCTGAAGGGGCCCTTAGAGATCAGTTAACCTCTGACCCTGCCCTTGCTGCCTCAAATACACACATACCCATTGTTCAGATAGGAAGACTGAGGAAGAAGGGAGAATTCACAAGTGAGCCAACAGCAGAGCTGGGGCTGGATATAGGCTTCCTATCTCCAAGTTTCCTGATCTTTCCAATACCCCAAGCTGCCACATGACGAGGCCAAGCCAGCTATGCATCAGGGCCTGACCTGCAGCAAGCTCCCTGCCCTATCCATGGCCCCAGGGAGCTGGGCCAGATACCAGGGCTCCAACTTCTGTTCCCAAGTCGTTTTAAGCTCAGGGATTGAGCTGGAACCTGACCAGCTCTGGGGACTGCGTGGGTGAGTGACATCCTCCCGATTGGAGAAGGTTTCTCCCAGGAAGAGTGGCAAGGCCCCACCTCAGCACCCTGTTGGCAGAGCTGGAACCCAGGAGAAATCATAGACTTATCTCTCTGAAGAGGATATAGGATTTGGGTCAATATAAACCCCGAAAACTCGGGTAACTGATACTCCTCTAAAAATTCACTTTGGTTAACAGCTTTAATCTTCTCACCCCCAAAGTTACTCACCACAGCTGGGGTGAATTGCCATCTCTTCTTCTCCTTAGAAGAGTTTGGCGTAAACAGTAGGATGTCTTTAGGGGCTGGGGAAACTTTCTAACCATCAAAGATGGACTAAATAGCTTTGAGAGGAGGTGAGTTCCCCATCACTGGAAAGGTACAAGAAAAGGCTGGGTAGCCTTTTGGTAAGGAGGGCAGCAGGAATGAGGTGGGGGGATTTTTTGGTTCTCCTCTACCCTGAGACTGTACAATTCTAAGACCACCAGGAAGAGAGAAAAATGAGGGGCCTGGAGGATGCCAATGAAGCCTACCAGGAAATCCCCACCACCACCCCCGGGAAACACAGATGAAAGTCTTACCTGGGCAGCCTTGTTCCTCCCCTCGTACAGCAGCAGCTCCTCCGACAACAGGAGGGTCCGGGCAGGGTTACAGAGATCTAGAGGCTGAGACAGAGCAAGGCTCTAGCTGAGTGGGCAATTCAAAGAGGCCTGGTAGGGACCACGGGGGAGGGGGCGGCAGCCAGTCAAAGCTAGCCACAGAGAGCCCTCTGACAGAGAGAAGTCTGGCAGCCCTCCCCCAACCTGAGAACCCACACACCCCCTCATGTGCAAGAAGGAAACAGAAAGACGGACGCTGCTGTCCTGTGCAGAACTGTTGCTACCACCTTCCCCACCAACTCTCACCATGAGAGCTACGCTCTCTAGCAGGAAGTCCAACCACATGCTTAGGCCCCCTGCACACCTCCCCCACAGCTCCCTGCACCCTACATGGGCTCCTGGGCCCTTCCAGCCCCCACACATTCTCCCACCTGTCTTGTTCATGTCTCACAGAAAGGTTCCTGCTGTCAGCCCCAGGAGGCATCCTGAGAGCCACATGCCAAGAGATTTGGTCACTTGAGTTCCTTCAAGACCAAGACAGTCCTTATTCTGCTTTCATAATACACTTGAGCTGACGCTTTTTCAGCCATCAGTTCCCCAGGTACAAATTCTCACCCAAACATCTCACCCCACCCCATCACCCCGCCAATCCAGCCCAGCCGAAAGGAAGCTCCCTAAGTTCTGGATCACCCAGCAGGACTTGTCCTTGTGAATGTGTATTTATAACATGGCTTCTAAGTATATCATATCACACAAAGACAGTGAAATTAATAACTACACATAACAACCCGATGGCTCTTATAAATAATGGGAAGCAAAAGAAGCAAGACCCAAAAGAGTATATGCAGTATGATTTCATTAAATAACTTTCAGAGAGGCCAAATAAAACATGTTGTTTATGGAAACATACATAGATGGTAAAAGTAAAGAAAAGCAAGGAAATGATTACCCTAAAGTCAGGCTAGTGAGTACCTCTGATGGGAAAAGAGGACATTCTCATCAGGAACAGATAGATACACGGGCTTTTGGAGTGGTGGCAATGGTCTCTTCCTGTTATCTTAGTGGATATTTACTTTATAATTATTTGTTAAACTGTACATTTAAATGTTATCCCATTTTTAGTTTATATATTTCATAAGTTAAACATCCTCATAACTTTTTAAAGATGAATTTTAATTTCTTATAAAAATTTTAAAATAAAAATGAAAATTAACCCCCATAGATGTCAACAACTTTGTGTCACATCCTAAGAAAGAGACCAACAGAAAGGCAAAGGCCAGGCCCTTCCAACAGAGCTAAGGAGAGGCGTGTGGCCTGCCAGAGATTGTTGTGCCCTAACAAAGTGTGAGTTCTAAGATCCACTGGACGGTGACAGGCTCAGAGTGGGATGTCAGGGAGACCAGAGAAGCATGGTCAAAAATGAAGCCCTAAGGGCCATGTCACCTCTTGGCTGCTAACGAGAGGATAAAGCAATAGAATCTTCCTGGAAAGCAGGAAGATTTGTCAGTAAAGAGCCATTAAAATGTTTATGACCCATGACCCAGTCATTTTACTTCTAGGAATCACTCCCAAGGAAAATAACCAGAGAGGTAATTCACACACAAGGATTTTTATCGCAGAGTTATTTACAATAGCAAAAGACTAGACAAAGTATCTGAATGGGGAACTGGTTAACTAAATGTGGTGTATCCATGTAATAGAAGAGTGTGTGACCTCTATAAAACACAGGCTCAAAGAACATCTAATCATGTGGGAAATGTTCATGCTATGATTTTCACGTAACAAAGGCAACAAGATATGAAATATAGAATAAGATATGTTTTCTTTTTTTTTAAATGTATACATGGACACCCAAAAGACACCTAAATGTTCACACCGTTATATCTGGGTGATGGAATAAAGGTTATTTCTAAAGAGAAGGAAAGAGAAATGGGGAGGAAGAGAGGGAAGAAGAAGAGGGAGAAGTAGAAGAAGGGAGGGCCAATGAATCTCAGACCACCAACTAACACTGGCCAGACATGTTTGCAGAGACCAAGGAGACCAGACACGACGCTAGCGCCAGGCCTCAGGGTCTCCCTTGGTCATTTCCAAATATCAAACCACTAGGTGAGCCAGGGAGTGGAAGCCTCAGCAAACAGGCTCTGTGACATTATAAGCAGCTGTTGTGCACCCGCCCTGTCCTCAGGTAGAGGGGAAGTGAGGAGAGGAAGGAGAGGACTCTCTTATTGCTGGGCTCCCCTGGCCCCACTTTTTCCTCTGTATCCTCCCGGAAATCTCTTCTCCCTCGGTACAACCCCAGAATCCTGGCATCTGAAGCTATTTATCTCTCCCAAAAGGGGGCCCTCAGTCCTGGGATGAGGCAGCATCCCAAGTCCTGGGGCAAAAGCCCTCCTCTTTCTCACTTCCTCCTGAGGGAACCCTGGAGGCCACAGGCTCACCTGAACAAAGACGGGGAACACCAGGACTTTGGGGGCCAGGGTGACGTAGGTGCCATAGCTTGAGTGTGTGGCGTGCGGCCTCATGACCGGGCAGTTCTGGTAGTTCCCATGGCCCTTCATGGTCTGCACCGTCTTCATCAGCCGGGACTTCTTCCCCAGGCCCGTGTAGGACTTCCCTTTACTGGGACTCCCTGATTCTGCAGAACAGAGATGGGAGACTGTGAGGCGCTTCCGTCACCCCTGCAACGTCAGGTTCGTCTGTAGAAATGGGGAACAGAGACTCCTTCCACCAACAACCACTTACTGAGCAGCGACTCTGTGCCAGGCGCTGCGCAGGGTGCTGAGACTATCGAGAGGCTTCAGACGGGCCTCAGGCCTCAAGGAATTCCCTCCCACTGTAGTGAGAGACACTGACATGTCAACAAGCAACTCCAGGGCTAGAAAGCAGCTGGGAAGGACCAACTAGGACAGAGGCAACAGCCTTCACCTGGTGATCCAGGCCCAAATCAGACTTACCGGTTTGGCCTCATGCTTTTAAAAATCAAGAAATCTCTCATATTTGAGAAATCAGAAGATCTGACCTCACTGGGCCCACAGTTCCATGTGGGACAATCAGTTGGAGCAGAGCAGTGACCACGCTGTGTGGCAGGGCATGTGCCCCCACCCCCACCCTGCCACCATCCCCACTATTCCCTGCACACACCCAGCCCAGCTCACCCATTCCATCACCTCCCAGCGCCAGGGACAAAGACCCATTCTCTGCAGTGGTGGCAGAGACCGAGGCTTTCCCAGGAGGCCTCAGAGCCAGCAGCCTGGCTCACTTCAGTGAGTCTAAAACAAGGAGTGGCACTGGCTGCCCCAGGTCTCGGTGAGAGCACAAGCTCTGAAGCCAGATAGCTGAGCTCAAATCCTGCTCCCCTCTTGCTAGCTCAGTGACCTCGGGCAACTTACTTCACCCTTGGAGTCTCGGTTTCCTCAACTATAACAACAGCACCAAGCTCACTGGGCTGCTGTGAGGATTAAATGAGACCCTCTAAGTAAAGTCTTTAGAACAGTGCCTGGGACCTATTGAGTGTGTGATAAAAGTTAGCTGCTAACTCGTTCTTGTTTTTGTTATTGTGATTCCTCCACTTGAACAAGCAAGTTTAGAAATCAGGTGTCCCATGAAACTCTGGGAATCCCAGACTTCACGGCATCCAGTAGGTACTTTTGCTTGGCCACCAACTAACAAATTATTAACAAAATTATTCTAATCATAAAAAGGAGAGGGAAAGGGAGAAACAAGGCCAGCCCCAGGGAAGACAGCACAGGCTGCAGCAGCAAGGGGTCCCTCATTAAGGGGACACTGCTGGACACCTACCCCCACCTGAACAAGGGGTAATGCACAGGTCTTTATCATGTGCCATCAAATGGGCAGAGGGACAAAACACAAAGTAGCTAAAAAGTGAGGGATTCCTGGACACGGGCAGGTGGGAGACAAACTAGAGTAATCAGGCTCCACACACACCTGGGCCCCTTCCAGGGGGTTCCTGCTGCCAGGCGGGCAACTGACGGGCCCCCCCTGACCTGGTTGCCCAACCTGAGGCCCAAGGCCCAGGCCTCCTTCTGCCACCCCCAGCCCTGGAAGCCTGGGGAGAACAGGTGGCCTGACCCCAGCTACATCCCAGGGAAGCTCCCCACCAACGCAAGGCCCACGGCCTCAAAGGAAACCCTCCGCTCAGAAGGTTTCACACCTGCTTCCTCCTCCCACCCACAGAGCAGGGTGAGAAAAACAAGTTGACTCTCCCCGACAAGTGACCACTGATCACAGTCGAGTCTGGGGGCAGCACTCAAACCATGATAAGCCAAACTACTTCCTGCCTCTTCAGTGAGTCGCTCAGAGAGGAAAAGAAAGAACATGATAAAAATGAAAATTAACCCCCATAGATGTCAACAACTTTGTGTCACATCCTAAGAAAGAGACCAACAGAAAGGCAAAGGCCAGGCCCTTCCAACAGAGCTAAGGAGAGGCGTGTGGCCTGCCAGAGATTGTTGTGCCCTAACAAAGTGTGAGTTCTAAGATCCACTGGACGGTGACAGGCTCAGAGTGGGATGTCAGGGAGACCAGAGAAGCATGGTCAAAAATGAAGCCCTAAGGGCCATGTCACCTCTTGGCTGCTAACGAGAGGATAAAGCAATAGAATCTTCCTGGAAAGCAGGAAGATTTGTCAGTAAAGAGCCATTAAAATGTTTATGACCCATGACCCAGTCATTTTACTTCTAGGAATCACTCCCAAGGAAAATAACCAGAGAGGTAATTCACACACAAGGATTTTTATCGCAGAGTTATTTACAATAGCAAAAGACTAGACAAAGTATCTGAATGGGGAACTGGTTAACTAAATGTGGTGTATCCATGTAATAGAAGAGTGTGTGACCTCTATAAAACACAGGCTCAAAGAACATCTAATCATGTGGGAAATGTTCATGCTATGATTTTCACGTAACAAAGGCAACAAGATATGAAATATAGAATAAGATATGTTTTCTTTTTTTTTAAATGTATACATGGACACCCAAAAGACACCTAAATGTTCACACCGTTATATCTGGGTGATGGAATAAAGGTTATTTCTAAAGAGAAGGAAAGAGAAATGGGGAGGAAGAGAGGGAAGAAGAAGAGGGAGAAGTAGAAGAAGGGAGGGCCAATGAATCTCAGACCACCAACTAACACTGGCCAGACATGTTTGCAGAGACCAAGGAGACCAGACACGACGCTAGCGCCAGGCCTCAGGGTCTCCCTTGGTCATTTCCAAATATCAAACCACTAGGTGAGCCAGGGAGTGGAAGCCTCAGCAAACAGGCTCTGTGACATTATAAGCAGCTGTTGTGCACCCGCCCTGTCCTCAGGTAGAGGGGAAGTGAGGAGAGGAAGGAGAGGACTCTCTTATTGCTGGGCTCCCCTGGCCCCACTTTTTCCTCTGTATCCTCCCGGAAATCTCTTCTCCCTCGGTACAACCCCAGAATCCTGGCATCTGAAGCTATTTATCTCTCCCAAAAGGGGGCCCTCAGTCCTGGGATGAGGCAGCATCCCAAGTCCTGGGGCAAAAGCCCTCCTCTTTCTCACTTCCTCCTGAGGGAACCCTGGAGGCCACAGGCTCACCTGAACAAAGACGGGGAACACCAGGACTTTGGGGGCCAGGGTGACGTAGGTGCCATAGCTTGAGTGTGTGGCGTGCGGCCTCATGACCGGGCAGTTCTGGTAGTTCCCATGGCCCTTCATGGTCTGCACCGTCTTCATCAGCCGGGACTTCTTCCCCAGGCCCGTGTAGGACTTCCCTTTACTGGGACTCCCTGATTCTGCAGAACAGAGATGGGAGACTGTGAGGCGCTTCCGTCACCCCTGCAACGTCAGGTTCGTCTGTAGAAATGGGGAACAGAGACTCCTTCCACCAACAACCACTTACTGAGCAGCGACTCTGTGCCAGGCGCTGCGCAGGGTGCTGAGACTATCGAGAGGCTTCAGACGGGCCTCAGGCCTCAAGGAATTCCCTCCCACTGTAGTGAGAGACACTGACATGTCAACAAGCAACTCCAGGGCTAGAAAGCAGCTGGGAAGGACCAACTAGGACAGAGGCAACAGCCTTCACCTGGTGATCCAGGCCCAAATCAGACTTACCGGTTTGGCCTCATGCTTTTAAAAATCAAGAAATCTCTCATATTTGAGAAATCAGAAGATCTGACCTCACTGGGCCCACAGTTCCATGTGGGACAATCAGTTGGAGCAGAGCAGTGACCACGCTGTGTGGCAGGGCATGTGCCCCCACCCCCACCCTGCCACCATCCCCACTATTCCCTGCACACACCCAGCCCAGCTCACCCATTCCATCACCTCCCAGCGCCAGGGACAAAGACCCATTCTCTGCAGTGGTGGCAGAGACCGAGGCTTTCCCAGGAGGCCTCAGAGCCAGCAGCCTGGCTCACTTCAGTGAGTCTAAAACAAGGAGTGGCACTGGCTGCCCCAGGTCTCGGTGAGAGCACAAGCTCTGAAGCCAGATAGCTGAGCTCAAATCCTGCTCCCCTCTTGCTAGCTCAGTGACCTCGGGCAACTTACTTCACCCTTGGAGTCTCGGTTTCCTCAACTATAACAACAGCACCAAGCTCACTGGGCTGCTGTGAGGATTAAATGAGACCCTCTAAGTAAAGTCTTTAGAACAGTGCCTGGGACCTATTGAGTGTGTGATAAAAGTTAGCTGCTAACTCGTTCTTGTTTTTGTTATTGTGATTCCTCCACTTGAACAAGCAAGTTTAGAAATCAGGTGTCCCATGAAACTCTGGGAATCCCAGACTTCACGGCATCCAGTAGGTACTTTTGCTTGGCCACCAACTAACAAATTATTAACAAAATTATTCTAATCATAAAAAGGAGAGGGAAAGGGAGAAACAAGGCCAGCCCCAGGGAAGACAGCACAGGCTGCAGCAGCAAGGGGTCCCTCATTAAGGGGACACTGCTGGACACCTACCCCCACCTGAACAAGGGGTAATGCACAGGTCTTTATCATGTGCCATCAAATGGGCAGAGGGACAAAACACAAAGTAGCTAAAAAGTGAGGGATTCCTGGACACGGGCAGGTGGGAGACAAACTAGAGTAATCAGGCTCCACACACACCTGGGCCCCTTCCAGGGGGTTCCTGCTGCCAGGCGGGCAACTGACGGGCCCCCCCTGACCTGGTTGCCCAACCTGAGGCCCAAGGCCCAGGCCTCCTTCTGCCACCCCCAGCCCTGGAAGCCTGGGGAGAACAGGTGGCCTGACCCCAGCTACATCCCAGGGAAGCTCCCCACCAACGCAAGGCCCACGGCCTCAAAGGAAACCCTCCGCTCAGAAGGTTTCACACCTGCTTCCTCCTCCCACCCACAGAGCAGGGTGAGAAAAACAAGTTGACTCTCCCCGACAAGTGACCACTGATCACAGTCGAGTCTGGGGGCAGCACTCAAACCATGATAAGCCAAACTACTTCCTGCCTCTTCAGTGAGTCGCTCAGAGAGGAAAAGAAAGAACATGAGCCTGGATGGACACAGGGGGAGCAGACGAAAGGAAGAAGTCCCACAGCTCCTTGTCCCAGCCTGCTCTGCACCTCAGGCCCAGAGGGGCATGCGCTGCCAGGCCCCAGCCCTGCTGCTGACATAACCATCCTGAGTCGCGAGATCTGCGCTGGATTTGAGTTGGATAAGACACTCGAACTCGATCACTGACTTCCCAAGGCAGGTACTGGCTGTGCAACCCTGAACAGGTTCCTTCCCCCTCTGAGTCAGGGTTTCTCCCCTGCAAAGTGGAGATGATACAGATTGTGCTTGCTTGCCCCAGGGCCGGCGGGAGGCTCACACAGGGACTTGGTAGGAAAGGGCTTGGTGGATTGTATCAGAGTGTGAGTGCACCAGGGATTATCACAAACCCTAAGCCACTGAGTCATCCACCCATCAGGGCGGGTGGAAGGACAGACGGGGCCTCAAACCACCCTGCAACTGGGGCCCAGGGTCAGCCTGGATCTAGACAGTCTAATTTAACACGGCCAAGCCTAGGCCAGAGAAGGTAAAACCACAGAGGACTGACAAGCAGGGGACTGAGGCAAAATAGACCAAAATTTCAAAAGGTCACTGTCTGCAGATGCTGCCCCCAGTCTCAGACTTTAAAACAAAACAAAACAAAACAAATTCTTCCCTTCCCTTCCCTAGCCCAGCTTCCCAGGGCTGTCACACAATCTTTACGTAGGGCTTCGAGAATCACAAATAAACCACCTGACACACAACTCTGCCCTCTGAGAGGAAAGGCCTGTTTACCTCCATTTTATAGATAAGTAAACTGAGGCCTGGAGTGGTTGGGTGACTTGCCCAAGGTCATTTGGCCAGTAAATGATACAAGTCAGAATCAACTCAACCTATGTGACCCTCATGTCCTAGTGCCCCAATCTCCACCCACCCCTGGATAATGTGTTGCAAGTAGGAGTGGCTCTCCAAAACTGATTTTTGAACTATCTTTTTTCAGAACAGTCCAGGTTGCAACCCAGTTACTGAGCTCTATGAAGGCGAACTCATTTACTTCCCACCTGCTACCTCTTACAATGTCTGGTCCAGACACCCACATCACCCCATTCCTCTATACCTGCTTCACTGACCAAACATAGGAAGCACGTGGCTTTGCTCCTGGCTTCTGAGGCGAGCCCTGGCAGCCACCCTGCCCTTGCAACAGCAAATCTGAGGCCGGGCCACCTTCACAGGGCAAGGTACAAAGCCGAGAGCACCAGCGGCCCTGGGGAACATGCCAACCACAGGCAGGCAGGCACCCCAGGCCCCGGACGGGCACCAGACCCTATTCAACTCAGAATAGCTCAACCCTCCCTCCTATTCAACTCAGGATGGCTCAGCACTCCTCCTGAAAGGCTACCTCCTGGCAGCCCGGCCAGAGGAGGGAACTGAGAAGTTGGCACCCTGGTGACAGCCTCAACCTCTGGACAACCCCAAGTGTGTTTAAGGGAAGCTTTGTGCTCTGAATTTCACCCCTTCCTTTGAACACCAGGACTGGGAGCTGCGGAGACTCGATCCCTGGTAAAAACCAAAGATGTCCTTGGATACCAAAAGGATTATTATTATGAAGAATAAATGAAGTATAGTCAAGATCTTAATACAATGCATTCAAAAAGTTACCATTGTTATTAACATCATCGTCATTTCCTCTCTTGCCCCTTCTTGATTCAGTAAGTATCATACCCTCAGAGGGGAATGAAAACACGGACACAGGTTGGGAGCACACCAGGGCGAGACAGAGCGATCTCTCGGGCTGAGAAGGACTCAATCTCAGACCACCCGGCCTGTGCCCATGTGCCCGCTGCAGGCACACACCAATCCAGCTCCCTTCCTCCATGACCAGCCTCCAAACCCTCAGAGGCTACCAGAGTCATTCTCCTTCAGCCAGTCACTCAACTGAGACTCGACTGAGTATCTGCCAGGCCCTAGATCCAGCCCTGGGCCCAGAGAAATGAGCCAGGACCAGGCGTTGCCCTTAATAAAGTCCCCTAGCAGTGGCACCTCGGCTCTAACCTAATGTGCCGACTAAAAGCTTTTTAAAAACTCATTGTTGAATCGCTATCGGACTCCTCCCCAGAAGGAATATCGATTGATTTCCAACAGACCAGGCCCAACTGCTCAAATGCCCCAGACTGGAGGGAAAGAAGGTGGCTTCCATCAGCACCCCTGAGCCTGATAGGAAGCCTCTGCACCCAAAAAAGGAACAGGCACTTTTCCAAGTATCCAAACAGACATCATCTTCACGCCACCGATAAGAGGAAAGTGGCAAGGAAGCAAATCTGCGAGTGGCTATGAGAAAGCCGCTCTCGAGGAGGGAGTTCAAGGGCATCCTGAAGGCACCAGGAGAAGGGCTCAAGCACACCAAAGGTGAGCATCACAGGCCACCCGGCAAGGCTGGTCTCTACCTTCCAGGCACCAGCTGGACTTTTGAGTCAGAGCTCTCCATGGACACGTGGAGGGCCCCGAGGCATGCCCAGCCAGCTCCAGCACCAAGATGGACATCTCAGGTTTCCCGGGAGAAGGAATTGGTTTTGAGCCCAGCTTCCATCCCTGGCCAGGATTTGAAGGCCAAAGGAGAAGAATGCATGAAACAGCAGAGACATCTCTGCCCTTCAAAGGCAACTACCCTCTGGGCAGCGTCTTTCAGTGCACAGGCTGCCACTCATGACCATTTTCTCATGTAATCCTTCCCGCAGCCCTCTGAGGTAGGAATTATTAGCCCCATTTTCTAGATGAAGAAACTGAGGCTTAGTGAGGGGATATGATTTGCTCAAAGTTACACAGCTAAAACTCCAATTTGAGACTTCCAGCTCCAAACCCCATGACTCTCTTCCATGAAGGCCCAAGCACGTTGTCTACAGCACCTAACATGTACTGGTTGCTCAGTAAAACTGGATGAAACTCAATTGAATGCCTGAGTCCTGAACACTCTATGTCTCTTAGATTGTTCTGGTAAGATTCCCTCTCTTCCTCCTCATTCTGGCTTTAAGAAAGAAAGACATTGGTTCAGTGAGAGAGGAAAGCTACCAAGGGGAAAGAGAGTCTGTGTCAATGTGCTGGGTGACCTTGACTCCATCAGAAAGGTCTCTGAACTCAGAGAAGGAGGCTGGGCCAGGCCTCCGCTGGCCTCCGCTGTCCCTCAGGGCTAGGAGGGGACTATAGCAGAGGGCAGACTCACCTTCGGGGATGGTATCCTCCTGGTACACAGGTCGAAGCAGCTGCAAGGGAAAAACAGGAGAATCATCTCAGCCCTGGGAACGGGGCAGGACAGCCTAGCAAGCTGCTGGATGCAGGGCCAAGGACAGGAAATGGAGCACCTCAGGGCACGAGGGAAAAACTGCAGTTCTGCTAACCAGCTGAGGGAGGGGGTCTGGAGGGAACACAGAATCCCAGAATATTAGACTTGAAAGAGGCTTTAGTGCCATGAAGTCTAACCCCTTGGCAAGTCCCCACCTTCCTTTACAGCAGCTTGTTCCAAAGTGCATCCCACGGAACACTGAAACGGTGGGACGCTAACCACCACGCCATAAAGGGTGCCACCATCAGGTAAGTTTGGGAAATGCTGGGTTAAACAAGGTTAAGCCACCTTCTTCACTGCAGGACACCCTTACAGCTTCCAATAGGCTAGTTTGCATTGGAAATGTCCCAGAAGAGGAAAAGAGTATGGGATATTTCTCACACTTTTTTGACTTTAGAACACCTTTTTTCCCAGAGTATCTCATGGGACTAATGTTTTGAGAAACGCACATCATCTTCCCACCATGCAATCATGCAGTGTCTGCTTTCACACCTCCTGTGACGAGGGCTCACTACCTACAAAAGCAGCCCACTCCACTATGGAAAAGCACAGGCTGGTAGAGAGCTCTTCCTTCTTGAAAGGTGAAACCTTCTAGCCTATGCATGCCCTGGTCCTGGATCTGTGCCCTGAGGCCACGCAGAACCCTTTGCCCTCTCTACCCAGGACAGCCTCGCACAGGCCAGAGCAGGCACACAGCCTGCCTCCTTGCTTAATACTCCCTTCCCCTTGCAGGCTCCTCATGACACAACTTTGAGTCCTTAAGTCTTCCTGGCCTCCCACGGGGACCCAAGGCCCTTCACCTTCCCCCACACCGGCTGTTCATACCTGGCTCCCAGGGTTCAGTGGGGCCAGGATGATGTAGTTGGGGTCAGTGGGGGCGGTGGCACGGGACAGGGCAGGCAGGGTGTGCTGGCTCCCACGCTTGGCCACCTCGGTGTAGCGCTCCCAGCCGCCAAGCAGCAGCCCGTCGGAGCTATCACACACCAGGTGGCAGCTGTGCCGCTGCTCGGGCCGTGCCTGGGCCCCGTGGGTGCAGTTCTTCTCCCGCTTGTTGGGGGGTGACTGGAGGTCATGTGTGGACTTGCAGGAGGCCCGCCGCAGGACCCCGCCATCCGGCCCCGGCTTGACCTGGGGGACCATGCGCCACACGAGCAAGATGATCTCGCTGGGGCAGCTCCTGGAAGTTGGGCATCACACAGAGAGGTTGAGCCTGGGGAAGACCAGTATCAGCCAGGGTAGGGGCCTGAGAGGAAGGGAAAGGGAGGAGGAGGCAGACACAGGGGGGAAGCCCCCAGTGTCAGGACAGGAAGGGATGGAAGAGACCATTTAAAGCAGAGACAGCAAAGGGGTCTCTTAGGTCAACTCTAATTGACTGGCAGTGGCTGAGAAGGACCCTGAGGCCAAGGCCAGGTTCAAAAGGAAAGAGCACCACACTCAACTTGTGATGCCTGTCACAGGCAAGACATAAGCAAGTAGGAGTCAGCAAGCCCCCTGACTACAACCCCTCATCTAGTCATTCTAGAAGCAAACCTAAAATGAGGCTATTAGAGTTTTACCCTAGGGGGTCAAAATTTAGAGGACCCAATCATTTTTAAAAATAATTTCTTAACTGTGCAACTGATACATTTGCAACATCTACACATCCGTAAAAAAGAATGGGCTTAGCTCTTAGGTAGCAGAAATAATTAGCTAAAGTGGAAAGCAACCCTCTGGAGCCATGTCACGAACCACAGGGTCTGTTTGAGAGCTTCTTCCCTGCTGTTTGCTCTGGGATCCAAAATTGCTCTGAGCCTGAACCTTCCATTTTCAGGCCAAGAAACCGATTCCCCGAGGAGCAAAGTGAATTGCTCACAGCTGGGCAAAGGAGGGACTGACAAGAGCAGGGCAGGGCAGGGCAGTGTGCCAGGGCTGGGGAGGAGGGGGGAGTGTGTCATCAGCCTGAGGCCCCGGCCGCCCACTGCCCGCTGTCACCGGATCTCGTGGGCCAGCTCCACACATTTCCAGTGCTCCACCGGCCTCTCATTCAGTTGCAGCACCGTGTCCAGCTGCTGCAGCCCTGCCCGCTCTGCCGGGCCCCCTGCAGGGACAAAGAAAAGCCATTCAGCGCCCTCCTCCCCCTGAAGCCCAAGACCCCCTCAAAGGGCCTGGAGTCCTTTGCTTCCATGGTGACCTTAGACAAGGACCACCGTTTTTCTCTCCGTTTCTTCATCTGTGAAATGAGGGGCCAAACTTGGCAGCTCTCAAGGGCCTTGCAGGGAGGCACCCCTTTGCCCTCACCGCCTCCCTGCCTGCCTCCCCCTGGTGCTGGCTCACCTCTCTGCTGTCCTCCCTTCCCCCAGGTCCCCTCCCCCTCCCCAAGGCCTCCTACCCCCTTGAGAACCCTCCCCTGCTGCCAGGCTCACACACTTCACTCGCTCCTACACCGTTCATTGAGCACCACCCCTGTGCAGGCACTGGGGACAGCCTGATCACTGAGCCCTGGTTTCTGCCCTTAAGATGCTCACTCTGTGATTAAGAGAAATATTATTTGTGAAAAGTAGGGAAGGAATGACTATCTTAAAGTGCTAATCAGGCTTGGTCTAGGATAAAATACTGATTCCAAGCAGACTTAATAAATGACTTTCATTTTCCCATGCAGCCGCTGCTGATGTTAGTTCCTGTTTAAACTGATTGAAAAACAAAATATAAAGACCTATTTTCATTTTGATAAAGAAAAAAAGTGAACATATTTTCATGAACCTCCAGTTTCATCTATGATCATTTAAAAATATTATTCTTTTCATTTTGCAAAACCAGGACACTTTGCTCCAGTTCGGGGCTCCCCTTTCTGTTCCAGGCTCTGTTTGCAAAGCCAGGTGCATGGCAGACAAGCAGGGCTGGCCTCCCCCAGGCACTCACTTACCAGAATCCACAGCCTGGACGCGGACCGGAGAGTCGCAGCAGATGGTGAAGCCAAAGCCGTCCTTCCCCCTCGGGATGGTGATCTAGGACACAGCTCTGCCCAGTCACTTCCAGAAGCTGGAGGCTGCTGCCCCTGCCCCTAGGGTCGGGAAGCCCACAGGCCCCACCCCAGAGCCACCCTCCACTCCAAGGGAACTGGAGCCAAGAAGGAGCTGGCCAGCCACTCACCATCCCTGTCTCAGCCCAGGCATCTTGGACCCTGGGTTGTGGGCCAAGCGGGAAGGCTGAGAGCTCAGGAGGTAAACCCAAGCCAATGCAGGGAGGGCCTGGGATGGACAAGGTCTTAGAAGGGCGAATCTTGCCCTCCTCAGCCCCAGCATTCCCCGCCCTTTATCCAAGGGCCCACGGCGCTGCACGCTTCCACCTTGCCTATGATCCACTGTGTCTCCTGTGCCTGTGTCTCCCTCCCCTCTTCCTGTCCCACAGAGGCTCACAGAGCATTGGCCCAGGGCTGGCCCTGTGCTGAGGGCCCAAAAACAAAGCCAGCCTGGTTGCTGCCTTCCCAGAGCACAGAGGAGGGGAAACTGGGTCACACTCACTCAGCCTCAGGACAAGGGTCAGAGGAAGAGAGTTGGGGTTCCTGGGGCAGCCCATGGCCAGGGCCTCGAGGCATTCAGTGAGGCTCCCAGGGGAGGGGGAGGAGAGGGCACAGATAGGCCTCCCAGCTGAATCCCAACCGGCCACTGACCTTTCTGTGCCTGTGGAGGCCCATATGCTTGGTAGGTCCACTACCCCTACTTTCAGAAGTCCCATGAAAGGGCCCCGCTATCTGGATGCTCTTTTCAAACCAATACACAATTATTGAGCTCCTACTGCATACCGGACTCTACTGAGGTACAGAGGCATGAGGCCTTGGTCTCAGGCTCCCTGAGGGGCATGAGGATGCCCAAATGTCTCCAAAGCAAAGCAGGGCACAAAAGCAATAGAGTAAAGCATGAGGACTGTGCTGTGAACAGTCCTTCATGCTTTGACTTTGGATGCCACACTTCCTAATGGCAGGAACTCAGCCAGGGCTAATTTAGTGAGGACAGCCTGGCCTCATCCCATCCTCAGAAGGATGCGGTGTGCAGTGTGACCTGCCGGCTCATTCAGGCTACTAAGGGAGCAGGGAAGGGGTCAGAGAAGGGGTTCAGTAGGGTCCCAAGAGACCCCCTAGAAGAAGTAGGACTTGGAGCAGACCCTAGTGAGGCATGGGGAAAGGTGTCCAGGACAAATTGAGAAAGAAGCCAGCTCAGCAAGACTGGAAAAGGTCAAGGGCGATGGTTTTGTCAGAAGACTTCTGTCTCCTTCCTTTAAGGGTTGTCTCTCCAAGGCTGGGCACCTGCATTCACCTGCCGGCCATCCCAAGGCTGGGCATGAGGAAGGGGAGGGAGGAGGCCCGGGGTGACAGAGGCCCTTGGAAGCAGCTGGGGCCCCTGAAGCTCTGCTTCCCACCGGCCCGGGCCTGGATTCAAAGCAGTTTGTAAAACAGGAAATCTGACAGACAAGGGGAAGGGGGAGGGGGCAGGAAAATACCCCGTTCCCATAAGAATTCTGGGAAAACACGCAGCTAAGACAGGAAGAGGAAAAAAATGGAAAGAAAGAAAGAAAAACAAACCTGGGGGTAAGCGGGGAAAGCTGGAGGAAAGGAGTGAGCACTAGTTGCCAGGCCCACCTGAAGCCAGAGAAGATGCCAGGAGGCTGGCGGGACCAGGAGGAATCTTTAGGGGTCTCTCAAGCCACTGCTCAGCCCAGGCAGAAGCTGGGGTCCCAAAGCCTTTCTAGCACTTCCCCAGTCCCACCCACCACAGGCCCACAGCCCCTCCTGCCTGGAAAGCAAGCACCAGCACCCTGGGCTCCGGGCTAGCTGGTTTAAGTAAAGGCCCCAGAGTTGAGGCTGGAGAGAAGTGAGCTCCAGGAAGACAGCCTCCCCGCCAGGCTCTGGTCCCCTCGTCCCATAGGGACCGTTGACTAGAGCCCCCTCACCCTGCTGGATGCGAGCCTAAGAAGAGCCAGCCCAGACTGCAGTGCAGCCCAGCTGGGGGGTGCGAAGGAAGAGAAGAGGAGGGGGTGTCAGGAAGCACGCTCACCTCCTAGCTCAGAGTGAGGGGTGGACTACACGAAGGAAGCAGAATTATATTTTGTCCATCATGATCGCTGACCACATTGAGAGGGTAGTGTCCAAAGAAGGTCTTCCCTACAGCCCTGACAGGAATGCAGGGCTAGTTTTAGGATGCCCATTTTGCAGAGAAGGAAATCAAGGCCCAAAGTGATAAGTGACACCCCCGCTACCCTAGCCATCCACCACCCTCCTGCTCTCAGCCTTCCTCTCTGACCTTGGGCCTCTCAAGGTCAGTTGGTGAAGGGGGTAGCCCAGCCCTGACTCCTCGTTGGCTCCTGGCAGAGGCTGTCCTTCCTGGGGTGGTTCTTGCTCTTTCCTGTCCAGGGCAGGAGCTGCCACTGCTCTCAGGCCTCGCCCATGCCAGCACCTCACTTTTGTCCTCCTGCCTAGTTGCTGATCCTCTGTCCTGCCTAGATTTCAATCCCCAGCTGCCGCCATGCACCAAACGCTTCCTAGATGTAGGTAGCAGACGCTGAGCCAGGTACTTCATACATGTCATCCCCTTCACTCTCAGACCAGCATCACTGGACTTTATTATCCCTATTTTACTGACAAGGAGATTGAGGCTCAGAGAGGTAAAGTGACTTGCTCAAGAGCCACAGCCAAAGTGGAACAGAGGTAGATTTGAACTCAGGTCTGACAAAAAACTTGGTGCTCTCAATTCCGTGCTGGTTTCTAACACAGAAGCTGTCCTGAACTCTGAGTCCCAGGGCCCCAGGTCCAGACCACAATCATGTCTGGCCCCACTCCGACTGCCAGCATGCCCAGTCTTCTGGCCCATAGACCCAAAGTGACCAAGGACTTCCAGACATCTCATCCAGTGCTCTCTCTGCCTCACCACTCTGCCACCCAGAAGCTGGTGTCAAAGCGGCTTGCTCTATTTGGCTCCGGGAGGGCAGAAAGCGCAGAGTCGGGGCTGCAGGGCAGAACCTGGGACTGGGGAGGGCTGGAGGGAAAACACTGGGTCCCCTAGCGGGCAGCTGCCAGATCCTGTCAGAGGAGTCAGGACCCACATTCCAGTGTGGTCATTAAAACAAACAGAGGGGCATCTCTACATTTTTTAAATCAGAAAAACTTTGAGCTCCCCTCCAGCTTGGATATCCCTTGCCTTCACCCTCCCTGACTCCATTCCTTTTTTATAGGAAAAAATGCCCCATCACAGTTCCAGAAGAGGCTCTGGAGCTAACGGGATCATCAGTCCCCACTGTGTCCCCGCTTGCAAGAATGAGGCCGAATCTTCTCACAGAAGTTAGAGTCCAAAGCCAGAGGAATCCTAAGCCACCGCAAGGCATCGGGGCTGTGGGGGAGGATGATCATGTGTATGTACCTATATATAAAAACATCCTAGCCCACATACAAGCACATAGCGACGCACACGCAGAGGGCAGGATGAGCACTGCTGTCCCATCAGAAGTAGGGAAAGTGAGCAAAAATACAAAATCCTCCTCCAGAAACACCCAGCTGCTCAGCAACTGAGGCTTCTTCAATCTCAGGCTCGAGATGTCTTTTTTAATCCATACCCCTCCTCAGAGAAAAAGAACAGAAAGTCAGCGAGACAATCTCACCAAGGACACCACATCGCCCATCAGTGGTTAGGACTACGCACAGAGCTGGGCCTCGTCTGGCCCTACAGAGGAGTGGTAGGCAACAGGCTGGGCCGTGGGTCCAGCTCCTGCCCCTATCCTCCTCCCCGGATCAAAACGAGCCTGCAGGGAGCAGGGGGAGGCGAGGAGGGGCTCCTGGGGAGAGAGGTCCTACACAGATGGGCCCCACCCTCTACCCCCAACATGCCATAGGCTCCCCCCATGGGGCCAAGCACCCACCTGGCGGTAACGGCGCTCCGAACACACCTTGCAGAGCCCATTGAAGCGGTTCATGGCTGCGGGTCCTGCCTCGGCTGCCGCCCCATGAAAACCCAGCTCTCCCCCCAGCAGCGGGAGCCCGCAGTGCGCCCGTCAGCCTGGCATGACCGCCCTGGGAAGCCCGCCCCACAGAAGAATGGCAGGAAATCACCTCTCACCTCCCCAAGCCCTGTCTGTACTGTGTGCCTCTACACGATAAGCTCGAAGGCTTCCTGAAACCTCAGAATGACAAGGAAGAGAGAGAGTTTTATATTAAAATTCCTGTCAACTAGTTAGTATTCCCCCAGCCCGGCGGGGAGAGGGCGCCTTTGTTCTGGCTGCATTCTCCGCCATGGGCCACTTTGTGATTCCAATGTTCTCACAAACACCCCTCACTGGAGGAGACCCAGGCAGAAAACACGGCAGCTCTATAACAACGCCGCCTCCCCCTGCAAGCCCCACGGTCCCCAGCAGCAAATCCAGGGGACTGCCCCAGCCTAAAGAATCCAAGGACGCCGTGGGGGGTTGCAGTTGCAGACATCCCATCTCAAGACAGGGAACACAAAACGTTTAGAGTCTGAGGACCTGCCTGCCACTCAGAAGCTACTTAAAAGTCAGTTTCCTCATCCACGCAAGTGGATCCGGTGCTATGTGTACTGTAAAGTCAAATGTGGAAGGGATTTCCAAATCATCAGACGATCCAGCCTCCTCATCTTACCAACAAAGAAACTGAGGCCTAGAAATGTTGGGGTCACACAGCAGGGGAGTTGGGGGCTGGGCCCAGAACTTGGGTCCTGTGTCCTGCCCTTGCAGTCCCAGGATGTGTCCAGCAGAGCAGCACATGGTGAGCTCAGCCCCGTTTGCCCATCTCAGAGCCCCCGGGGAAGCCCACCCACCCAGTCACATCCTTGATGACAGAGGGTGTCCCTTGGTCTAGCCCAGCTTTGGTTGCTGTGTGACTGTGGGCAGGTTACCCAGGTTTCTGGGCCTCCATTTCTCCACTTGCACAATGCAGGGGTTGAACAGGTGACCTCTGGGGGCTCTCCCCAAGCTGCAACCAAGCCTCCGGCCATCACACCCTCTTTGTTGAATCCTGCAGATATCCCTGAGTGTAGAAGCTCCAGAAAATCCAACGCACCTCAGAACAAGGCCCCAGTTGCTCACAGGCTGTGTGCAGAATCCCGCAGGACTTCCCCAAACCACCGAGAACATTACAGCGTCGGTGTCCGTGTAATTCCCATGGATCACCAGGAGGCTCCCTGGTCACCTTCCTCTCTGTGCTCGTAAAGTACAGAGGGAGGGGAAAAGGTCTTCGCAGTTCCCCACTGAAACCAGAGGAAAGCTTTTCAAATCCTAAGGAAGCCACAGAAAACAGACCAGACAGACCTGGCAAGCTACTCTAATTGACGGTTGAATGCTGTCGAATGCGGTAGTGACTGGACACGTGTGCAAGGCAAACTGAAATTCATTAAAGTAAATGAAAGTTCACATGCAGAGCCTCAGGCACGCCAGCCACATTTCAAGTGCCCCGTAGTCAAAGGCAGCAGGTGGCTACCAGGCTGGACAGGGCCGCTCTAGACTGTGCGCTCAGTGAGGGCAGGACCCTGGACTCGTTCGCAGCTATATCCCAGCACAGGGCCTGGCCCACACAGGTGGAAATACATAATGAATGATAAATGACGAATGAATTGAGTCAACGAAAGTGAAAATGTTTTGTAAATTATAATATACCTCTATGTAAGAGACTATTATGAAATATATATCCTCCCAACGAGGTCACGAGCAGGAGGCAGTGTGGCACAGTGCACCTAAGAGGCAGCTAGACTCCCTCGGAGCCCGTCTCCACCACTTGCTGGCTGTGTGGCCACAGAGAGTCTCTGAAATGTCTCTGACCCTTATGTTCTAAGGTTCAGAGATGGGAAGCTAAGATGGGAAAGTAACAACTACCTCAGAGGCGGCAGTGAGGATTAGACAACAACAGCACCTGGTACAGAGGGGCTGATCAGCAGCTGGGAGTTTGTTTTTCCCTCTCTCTGTTGTTAGAGAAAACCATGGGGCACTTGCCATGCCCTGCAGAGAGACAGAATGAATTTTGGAGAATTCTCCCAAAACGCCATGTGAAGAAGGCACCATCAAAGCACTAACGAGTAAGAACCCACCCGTCTCAGGTTCAGAATCACAGTTGCCCCCAGTACCAAGTGGGCCTGAGAAGGTGATTCAGCCATAGTGCCAGGGGAAGCAGGGGATAGAGGGGGCCTGTGGGAAGGGGAGAACTTGGCTTCTAGAGGCCAAAAGTCAGTAAGATCCAGACCCTTCCATTTCCAGGGTTGGGGGCCTGGCTTTCTCCCCACCCCTGCCGCCATCATGGATAACCTGAGAAAAGCATTTATTTCCTATAATATGCCTTTGGAAAGTCAAGAATTAATCCCTTCTGAACGCACAACTTGCTGAGTTTCAAGCACCAAATGCTGACCTCTTTAGGGGTTTCCTGGGCCAAGGGACTGACAAGGAGCAGATTAGAGCTCCTGGAGTAATGCCCAGGCTCGTCCCCACCTACCTTGAGTTTCTCCCCATTCTCGGTGTCCCCACCTCCTGGCATTCTCAGCAGCGGGTCTAGAAGGTGACAGAGCAGACTCAGAAAGCTTCTGCTGGCATATAAGGGCCCATTCCACAGACCACCCAGAAGTCAACATCAGGCAGGAGGCCCCGTGGCTGCCTGGGTCCTTCCTGGCCTCCAGGATGTGGGGATGCCCGAGGGTCGAGCCAGGCAGGGGCTCAGGAGCCAGGGCGGCATGTGGGAAAGGCAGAACCGAAGTCCTGAGCCTCGATGCTCATGGCAGGGCCTAAATGCCCTGTCTGCAGAGGCGGGAACCCCAAGATCAGCAAGGCAGCCCAGAGGGGACTCCCTGAGACACTGGAGCTGGGAAGGAGCCACTGGGGAAGCACCTGAAGCCCAGCCCTCCATGAACAAGGGCTGAGGGGAGCTGAACTATGTGGGGTCAGGCCATAACCCTCTCCCAGGAAAGCCCAGTCAAACAAATAAAGGTGGCTGTCTGCAGCCTGCATTCTAACAGGTGCTCATGAGAAGCCCCTGCACCCTGCAGCCCGACAGCAGCCTGGAGTGGCAGGGGTCACCAAACACAGGGCCTGATGCCACCACGCAGGAAGGGAGGGAACGGGGAGGTCTTGGGAAAGGAAGCTGAAAGGGATGTACATGCATCTCTCAGTGGCCGCAGTCGCCGCCTGGCCACCTTCAGGTGCTTGGTCCGGCCCAGGTCCTCCCCCAGAAGGTAGTACCAGCCACTGATCTCCTGTCACGAGAGAAGGAATGACATGCTCAGAAAGGAGACATAGGGCACAGGTCAGAGAGCCACCAACCACCCTCAAAAAGTAGCAGGTGGACACCCTCCCTCGGGAGAGACAGACACTCAAGCCTCCTCGCCCCAAGGCTGCTACACCCGCTACACCTGCACCTCCAGGAAGCCTCCCCTGAGGCTCCAGGCAGAGCTGGCTCTGCCCTCTGCCACTCCCCACGGCTTCTTATCCCTAGAGAACAACCATCTACTTGCCTGCCTGCCTTCCCCACTAGGCTGTGCACAGGCTCTCTGATGTGCCTAGCACTGTGCTGACATACAGTAGGAGCCAAATAAATGTTTGTTGAGAGAACAGAGGGGAGGGAGTGGAAGAGGGATGGAGAAGCCAAAAAGTGGGCATCCTGAGGCTCCTGAGCAGTCTCCAGGGGACACAGCTTTTCCCAGGGGAATGAAGCCGAGGCTGTGGACAAGAGATCATGGAGACCCATGTGCAGGATAAAGGGTCCTCACATCTGCCCCAGACTGCACTTCTAGACTTGAAGCTGGTGGCAGGGCCACACGGTGGGCCGCCAGGACATTTCCAGGGACGTGTGAAAAGAGTGGCTCCCTCCCCTGCTCACCATCTTCCAGTTTGGGGGTGCAGTGCAGAGTAGAGATGGATAAGGGACTGGTGACCCAGAGGCAGGGGTCTCTAGCTCCCAGAGTCCTCACCAGCCTAAAGGAAAGCTCCATAGAGGATGGTGCTGCTCGCTGCTTCCTTGCTAGACCCAGAAATATCAGACCTGGTAGATACATCAAGAGCTCTCTGGAGTGGGCCCCAAGAAGCACCTGGCCCTCCTCTTCCAGGGCAGGCCCAGGAGTGCTCTGGGCCCCAAGGGACCTGCCAGTGTCCTTAACAGCAGACCCCAGACTCAGAACTTCCTGGGAGGACTTGGGGCTGCCTAACAACTGCTCTCTTGCAAGACAAACCAAAAAGGGGACCCAAACCCTCAGCTAGGCAGGTAACACAGTGCTGCTACTCAGGCCACTGGGCACCTGCCTCAGTGGGGCACCATCTCATAGACAGAAGCCTCACCCCAGGGCTTCCACACAAAGCCTGCCTGTACCAGCCCTGGCCCAGGTGGGATGACCCTGCTAGAAGCTTCCCTAGGACCCACCTTGTCCGGAGTCAGAAGGGACTTCACCCCAAAGCTCATGCAGCCAATGAGTCCACCCTGTCTGGGAGATCAACAGAGGTCTGAGTCAGCACTTTTTGTTGGGCTATATCGGGAGGTTGATTATCAAACATCATATAGGTTTGCCTGATGCACTGCAATTTACAAAGCATTTTTATGTGCATTGTCTTGTTTGATTCTTCTGACTTTGTGAGGTGTGGTACAGAGGAGTTACCATCTCCATTTTACAGAGGAAAAACTGGAGGCCCAGAGTTGGTTCCCCCACAAGGTCACAGGACTAGTTAGCAGTCAGGATGGGGGCCTGGGGAGGACTCAGGCCTCCCAGGCCTTGGTGCACACTCCTCCACAGACCTCAGAAGCTCAGAACTACTTCGTGGGTTTTAGCTGCTCTCGTGCTGGGTAGATCTGAAGAGCAGGTCCCCACGGGGAATCTCAGCTTCCCCATCAGTTGGTGGTGCTCAGTGGGGGAGAAATGTTATGGGACCTCAAGCTCAAGAAGCTTTGTGTCAGGCGCAGGCAGGACCTGGGCAGTTCTTAGATGGCTCCAGATCAAGGTGCAAACCAACCTGACACACAAAGTCACTGTGACCAATCTGACCTGGCTGCCAGCGGG